GATGACATAGTGAGACTCCAACTCAAAAAAAAAAAAATGAAATGTCCAGAAGTCAATCACAGCCAAATGTGGTCAGTAATTCTAGTAATAAAACCAAAAAGTATTGTGAGTGGCCAAAAATGAGACAAGACTATGAAGTAGACTGATTTCCTCAGTGATCTCAAACTTACTGAGAAGGTAGCTTCCAGAGGATTTCCAAATACACACTGTTCTGAGGGGGCACTTATGGAATACGTGTGGACTTTCAAAATGACGATTGGCAAGATAGCAAACGCTTTAGTGAGCATGAGTTTGTTTTTTCAAGGCAAGGTTTATATGCAATTAATCATTTTAAGTGTACGATTTAGTGGCATTTAGTACATTGGCAGTATTGGACAACCGCCACCTCAATACATTCATCACCCAGTCACCCATCCCCATCCCCAACTCTGTGCCCTCTAAGCAGTCAGTCCTTATTCACCTCTCCTCCCAGCACCTGGGACCGGCTAATTTTCTTCCTGTCTCTGTGAATTTCCCTATTCTAGATATCTCATGTAAATGAGATCATACAGGAGATGGCCTTTTGTCTCTGGCTTTTTTTTTTTTTTTGAGTTGGAGTCTCACTCTGTTGCCCAGACTGGAGTGCAGTGGCACATTCATGGCCACTGCAGCGTCAACCTGCTGGGCTCCAGCGATCCTTCAGCCTCAGCCTTCCAAGTAGCTGGAACTACAGGCATGCGCTACCACGCCCGGCTAATTTTGATCTATTGTAGAGATGAGGTCTCGCCAAGTTGCCCAGGCGGGTCTCGAACCCGCGGGCTCAGGCAATCCACTCACCTCAGCCTCCCAATGTGCGGGATTACAGGTTGAGCCACCGAACCCAGCTGTCTCTGGCTTTCATTTAGCATAATGTTTTCAAGGTTCGTCTACATTGTAACATGTGTCAGTACTTCATTCCTTCTTATGGCCAATGATTATTCCATTGCGATTATTCCAGAGAGACTACATTTTCTTAACCCATTCACCCACTGATGGACGTTTGGATTGTTTTCACTAGGCATGACTTTTTCAGTAGCCTGAATGCAGCCTCTCTCTCCTTCCGTTGCATGTCCTTGAGCTCAAGAGGTGGCCCACAGTTGTATCTGCACGGGCACTCTGGTCCCTGCGGTAACTGGTGCAGATCTCCAGGCCTGTAAGTTCCTCAGCCCGCTTCTTTTGGTTCATCTTCGACCCACTGTGCTCCATCTTTCTCTCCACTCAGGAGACGACAAGTATGGGCGGAAGATCATTGTGTTCAGTGCCTGTCGAATGCCCCCCAGCCACCAGCTGGACCACAGCAAACTCCTGGGGTAAGTACCCATGGGGAAGTATGGTGGGATCTTTGCCCAGGTCTCTGGTATAGCCTAATGCCCTTTTCCTTACTGTCCCTCTCTGCCTGGGGGTACCCGGCCACCTCTCTCCTCTCATGAGGGAGTTATTTTATATTTGGGGAAGAGCACTGGATTAGGAGTCAGACCTAGTTTCTAGTCACGGAAACTGTCTGTATGACCTTGGCAAGTGTGTTTAAGCATCATTTTCTTTACCTTTCAAAGGGGGTAATAGTGCAACCCCCTTCTTTATAGAGGCGAGATACTGCACGTTTAAAGGCTTTGAAAAGTAAGATACCGACTGGGCATGGTGGCTCATGCCTATAATCCCAGCACTTTGGAAGGCCAAGGTGAGAGGATTGCCTGAGCCCATATGTTCAAGATCAGCCTGGGCAACTTGGTGAGACCTCATCTCTATAAAAATATCACACACAAAAAATAAGCCAGGCATGGTGGTGTATGCCTGCAGTTCCAGCTACTTGGAAGGCTGAGATGGAAGAATCACCTGAGCCCAGCATGTCAAGGCTGCAGTGGTCGTGGGCATGCTACTGCACTCCAGCCTGGGTGACAGAGTGACTCCAACTCAAAAACAAAGAAAATAAATACCATCCATCTGTAAGGACTGATCATTATAATTATATGGTGTTTCTGATGTGATTGCAATTGTTTATCACATGTATGAATGAGTGTTACTTTGTACCACATTTGTTTCAATGATTCTGTACCTATGCGGGTTCTGTTAGCCCAATCTATGTAACATCTCTGCCTCAAAGGCTGGTTTGAATGAGGAAGTTTGATATACCTGATTCCCATAACGGTTCACTATTGAGCCAGTGCTGGGCCCACAGGCAGAGCAATAACTCACCTCCTCCTGCTGTTCACACGGTGTGCAAGTGACCATCTTGCACTGTCTTCCTGATCAGTTTAGAACACTCCCTGAAATGTATGATTCCATCCGGGCCCAGTGACTCATGCCTGTAATCCCAGTACTTTGGGAGGTGGAGGTGAGAGGATTGCCTAAGCCCACGGGTTCAAGACCAACCTGGGCAGCATGGCAAGACCTTGTCTCTACAATAAACCAAAAAATTATCCGGGCATGGTGGCGCATGCCTGTAGCTCCAGCTACTTGGAAGGCTGAGGCGGAAAGATCGCCTGGGCCCAGCAGGTCGAGACTTTGGTGGCCATGAGCGTGCCACTCCAGCCTGGGTGGTATCAGAGTGAGACTTTGGCTCAAAACACACACACACACACACACACACACACACACACACACACACAATTCTGGCACTATCCAGAGCAACTGAGATGCCCAGGTTTGTGCACATGTAGGTGGTGTGGGCTCAGGGACAGGCCCAGAGGGCCACAGCAAAGAGCAAGGACCTGAGTTTGGAGTCTTAGCTAGTTCTGGGTGAGCCAGGGCCAGAGGCTGAGTCTTCCCAATGCTGCTGGGAGTTCTTTCTCTTGAGTCTTCTCAGACAGGCAGGCAGAGCCTTGTCTGAGCCCACCATGTGGCCCGGCCAAGAATAGGCAGGGAGCTGGGTCTGAGGCTGGCTGAGTCATACGCCCTCTCCTCCAGCTTTTTCTCAGTGTCTGATGTACCAGGTGACAGACTCCTGGCCAGATAATAGTTCAAGTGAGAGGAAGTCAGCGTGCTGGGGAGGGGAAAGCACCCAGTATTCAGGAGACAGCTTGCTCAGTGAAGCCACACGCATTCAGGGGCCTCCTTGCTCCAAGAAGCCCTCTGCCACTGCTGCCATGGGTCCTCCATCCCTTCCTGGCCTGGTCACAATTCTCATGGGGAGCAGCAAGGTGCTTCTGTCAGGAGCTGCTGTCCCCTGTTTTTAGTCGGATAATTTCAGATTTGGCTTTTCCCAGCTGTCCACCCAGATCTGGGAGTTGAAATAGAATGTGCCTGAAGCTTGGAATCAGCTGACAAATTAAATTTCAGCTCTGCCTCTGACTAGTTGTGTGCTTTGGGGCAGATCTTTTCTGAGCCCTATAAAAATGGACTCGTGCCCACCTCACAGGAATGTTGTGGGCATTAGGTAAGATAATATACAGAAAATGCCACTGCATACACTTTCAAAGTACTACAATCTCAAGCGTCTAGAAAAATATGAGTAGCCAATAAAAAATACAGACAATGCCGGGTTCCGTGGCTCAGCCTGTAATCCCGCGCCTTTGGGAGGCTGAGGTGAGTGGATTGCCTGAGCCCGCAG